TCTTTAGGGCCTTTGTTTCATTATGAACCAACACTGAGAAAGTGGTAAAATGAGCAAATAATAAACAGATTATATTTTCCAATTTACATTGCAAGACATTACCATGCAGAAACTTTTTTTTTTTAAATGAAAAATCTTGTTGGGATGCTTTCCAGGCCCAGTGTCATTTAATAAACCTATCAGTAATTTGGAGAAAGAGCAACAAAACTACTGAAAATGTGTGTAAAACCTGAAGTGATATTAAGTAATGAAGAAGACAGCTTATGAACGTGCATCACTTGATAGCTCTAGGAACAAAGACTGTGTGCATTCATACATGAAGTTACATATGTTAAAACCATACCTGAGTATCAAGCGCATCAATATCAACCTGCGCATCATGTTTTTCTCTTGCTTACTGGAAAAAAAAAATAAGGGGGAAAATAACCCCAAAGAGTTCTTCTCTCACATTTATGCCAGCTTCCCTTACCTTTCTACTGTAAGAAAAGCTCTTCCTGATCACTGTGAAGGAAGCTTTCACAGAAGGGACACAAACAGAACAGTACTTCTTTGAACAGGTGCATGGAAGAAAAGTGAAGATCCGCACCAAGCAGCTGCTATAAATTCTAATACTTTGAAATCCTAGTAGTTCGAATTCTGTTTGTTTGCACTCATATAGGCTGAAAACAGAATGCTGCTTTTACAGGAATAAAAGTGAAAGTACTGAAAGGGGAGTTGGGCTAGAGGCACTAAGTTTGTTTAACAACTTCAAGTAAGGAAAGGAAACAATACAGACTGCACTAATTGTGCTACGGGAGAATATAGCACTCCTAGATTGAATGAAATACGTTTCACAACAGCTCAGTGGAAGAACTTGAAAAGCATGGTGTTTGGAATCTCTAAAAGATGCTACTGAGCCAACTTGCGCTGTCAGAAAGTTTCTGGAATCCTCAATTCAAGCGCAACGTAGTGTAAGAAACTCAAAGACTCAGAACAGAACCAAACCAGGAAAGGAAAAAGTTTGCAGAAGAAAAATTAAGACAGTGCCATAATGAATTGGGTCAGCAAACCTTACACCCTTATACAGCTTGGTAGAGACCAGAGGAAGAGTCAGTGGAGAAAACTGTAATATTCAGTGAGAATTTGATAGGAAGAACAGCAAAATATATACAAGGTATAGATTTGAGAAGGGTCCAGTCATTTGTCAATCATGTTCTATTGGTAAGAAGCTTCAGGAAAAGTTTCTGAAGAGAAACTATGTATTCTACCACATACAGAAGAATACATGCCTCCCCCAAAACCAACTAATCAGCTTGGGTATGAATCAAACCCTTAGAAGCTGGACTTTTCTGGGCAAGTTAAGAGAGTCTTTGAATACAGTTAGAAGTTTAAAGGTCTAAGCTATATCTTGTCACCATAAACAGGTGATTCTTATGCAGAAGATTCTACTTGTAGGCAGCTCTATCTACTATTTAAGAGAGAAGCAAGCACTGACAATAAAGAGATTGTAACTTTCTCGGAGCATTTCCTGCAGTACCTGACATTTCCTACAACTAGCCCTACAACGGTAACCCAAATTAGACATTAAGTCTCATTAGAAGAACAGTATCACAGAAGACCATGAGCCCATGGCTAAAGGGAAAGCAGAAGAATAAAATACGGAAGTTACAAAGAAAAACACAAATTATTAGCAAGTAGCTAAATTCAGGTGAGAAACAAAGCAGAAAGGTGGTACGCGTTAGAAAAGCACAACACAGAACACACAGAATTATCAGGCCAGTGGTGTATACGTTCATAAGCTCAAAGGAACTATTTATCAGTGATCCAATACTGGCAGAGATTTATCTTGCCTCGTACTTAAAATTACATTTTGATAATCCTCAAGTCATCCGAAAATCCTGCTGTTAAACATGAAGACATTAGAAGAAAACTGCGAGGCATGCAACGAATACCTTAAGGATAAATAAATAAATAATTTGATAATTGCCAGGCATGGAATACAAAGTGAAGCACTAACAGAAAAAGAACAGCCATTTCATTGCCAAGTTTCTATTTTTGCAAAATAACTGGATTTTAAGCAAAGTAGACTAAATCCATGTTGTCTGCACTGTTACAGGATTGTACAAAAACTGAAAGAGTTCAATGCTTGTATAAAGAGATAAACAGCATTAGAAGCAGTCTAATTTTGACTATTTGACATTAATAAAACACATGGCAACATCCTTTTGAAGCAGTAGTCTCACCTGCTAAAGTAGTTCAATAATAGCAAAGCACAAACTACCCTGTTAAAAATGATTTAGATTCACAGGTCATGTTGGCAGCTGCTACACAGCATATATATACACACTACACTGTGGCAATATTTTTATGGAAATTACAAATTACTCTTAGAGAGCAGAACAAGAGCAAGCCCATAACAAAGTGAGAAAGATACTTTAGACAAACAAGGAGCATAAACTGTGGGTATTCAAGAAACACAATAGACAAGGAAGGAAGCAATAGATAAAACAGTATTAGAAAAAAAATCTGAGCAGATTAATGCAGAAATCCAAAGTCTTTCAAGATCTATGAGGCAGTAGGAACCAGAAATACTTGAAAACAGTCAATTTATGTATTGCATTACCAGTGGGATACCAATCCTTCCCAGGGAAAGGCTGAACATGCAAGATGAAAGCAGCTATTATGGATGTGAATCAGCAACTGTTACCATACAACAATGACAAACTGGTTATGGACAACTTCATCGCATTGCAAGTGTCATGCCAGATTCTGGAATATTTTGTTAAAAAGACTGAATTAGTAAATTGGTATAGGTGGAACAGGGTTTTTTTTGTCTAATTTTGGTTTTCATAAAGAAAAAAAGCATCCAAAAAGTCCAATCAGACCCTTCTCATCCTAGGAGAGAATGACACAGGTTCTAGATTAGAAGGAACTTACTCCACAGCTATAAAACACACCACCGAAAAAGCCTCCCCTTTAGCACTTAAGATGGCACACAAGTTTACAAATCTCTGCAGCTGGCCTCTTTTACAAGATAACAGTTATAGAGACTGCTTGTTGTTCACATTATAACACATATCTATTTCAATACACCTCCCTTGCTGCTAAGGCAAGCAGTGGCCTTAGAATGCTTTTTTTTTTTTTAAACTGCATCTCAAAATCTTTAGCCCAACGTATTTTGCTACTTCCAACTTTTTCTCTAGGTCTTCTGCATCTGCCCTGCTATGAGAAATAGACAAAAAGACAACAAAAAGCCATCACTTGCTGAGCCATTCACGGAAAGGAGACATGCAGACCTCCTCAACTTAAGATAGACACTTTTAAAAAAAAAGGTATCAATTTATTCATCATTCAAATAAAAGATTTTAGCCTTCTCCTAGGGTGGACAAACAAAATTCAGGAGGCCTACAAGCAGAATTCAGAAGAGAACATTCTCACCTCATAATGGGGATAACAAGGTAACAGTATGTTACGCCAGCAAATCATGGAAGCAACTACAACTAATCTCTACTTTTCAGTGTTCCCCACACCTGAGCCAGCTGCTTTAGAAAAAAACATTTTAGAAAAAACCCAACTCTACATTGTTATTAGTATGTAGTTTTTCAGGAGTCATCAAGTTCTGAAACTGATGAGTTTCTTTCAGCTTCAAAGGAGTAGACTGGGAAGTAAAATGTATCAGCAGAAAGGCCTAGTAGTTTTCTGACAAACTTATTTTCCCTATTACAGAGACTCATGTGCCTATCGGTTTGTCTTGGAAGCGGGTTCCTACATACAGTGACTGTCCTGGCAAACCAATTCAATTCTAACCTTCTTGCAAGACAGCTTTATAAGGAGACTAGAAAAAGAGAACATGTGCATATATGTGCATGCATGCACGCATATATACACATAAACACCCTCTTCTAATTTCATTAGCGCCAAAGTGATAAAGCCAAGTCTAAGCTCCTTAGACATATGCTGTCACAGTAAGTGGTTTGGCAAGTTGCAGAAGTACTGTGTGAGGTGAACTGGGTTCCTGACAATGCAACTCAATCTGCTCACCGAAGCAACCACGCTGCTTTAGCACCACTTCTCTATAACAGGGCTATTCCCTCAGCTTGACTTTTAACTACATTACACGCTTTCCTGAAAAATAAAAGATTTCACTGGATGGTTTAAAAGCCTCAGTTCATGTTGGCTCTTCATCCACTTACTGCAAGTTATACACAGCTTCAGTTTCCTCAGCCACACTTGTGGTAAGACTAGCAAGGCTCACTCAGGAAGCATGGGAATGATTTTCTGTTTTACTTATTTCTCTCTCTCCAAAGTAAGCACAGCGCTTAAAAAACTGCAGTGTTCTGCTGTGTTTGAGAGACAGCACCTCTCTTTTCCCCACAGAATCCGATTTTGGTTTCCTGTCCAATTCTGCATTACTAATCCTTCCCCCAAACGTGAAAAAGGAGAAAAACCTTGCAACATGTCCTTTACAGCTCTGTTGCTAGTATCAAGTAAATTTTGGCAATGAAGATCAGCGCACAGAGCACATTCTGTCATGTACACCTTTCCATGCTAGCCTACGGTCATTTGCAAATGTCTTTGACAATTCTGAAGGCAGCTCAGGCAAGGAAGCTGATAAATGCTCACCTATCAGTAGATGATCCCTTTTCCTGCCTTCAACTGGAGAGCAGCACCAGGTGAAGAGCTATGGGTCCAGAAAGCCCCTTTTCCCTAAGCCACAGGGGCGGTGGTATTGCAAGCCGGATTCCACCCTTGGTCTCAGCCACAGAGGAATGGCCTGAGCCTTAAGGCTTCATTCATGTAAGAGGGTCTCCTTGGGTGCTTCAGAGCTTCACGAGCAACCTGAGAGCTTTTATTTGGCCGTGTGGCAGGGGTGGGTGTGGGGAAGCGCTCTTTATTTTGTGCCACTTTCTCAGGTCGCAGAGAGTGAGAAGTACCCTGCTCCCGGCAGCAGCTTCAGCCAGCTGCCGCTTGCCGTCGACGGCCATGTGCGTGTCCAAGTGATTTTGTACCGTGTCACTTACCTAGGGAACTTCTCCTTCAGCTTCCTCAGGCTCTGCCGGGTGGGCTGCACGTGCCCCAGGAACTGGGCTATTTCATCGTACTGGGCTTTGGTCAGCTTCATGCCTCGCACCGCCCGATCTCCCGGGGCCGGGCCTGCGCGGCGGCGGGAGGGGCGAAGGGAGCGAGCAGCGCTGCTCCCGGCCCGGCACC